CTTGGCGCCCGGACGCCGTGTTCGGAATTTGTGCAGGCGCTGTCCATGCTGGCAGGGGGGGGTCGGAGGCGGTCCCCGCCGCGTCCGCTTCGATCGTCCCCGGGGGGCGTAAAGAGGAATTGCTGCGCGATGTACGGGCAGGACGTTTCGAGGACGTTTTTGTCAGCGTGCTCTCCTCTCAGGACCTGGACCTGCTCCTCTGGCTCTGCTCGGAAGCCCCCAAGGACGACATCTTTGACTCTGAACCACCCATGCTCTCTCAGCCTACCATGTTTTGCCTTCTACAGCAGCTGACTTTCCAGCTGGGGAAACACACAGCACAGAAACTTGAATGGATGCAAGAGTTGGTCCTGGCGGTTGATCCCAAGGACGCGGTTATCGGTTCGTATCTTGGGGAGGTGTGTCCAGAACTCATCAGGAACTTCAACGAGGCGGCACCTGAAGTGGCAGCGTTGGGTCACCCCCAGCTTGTAAAAGACTTTAAAATGGTTCAGAAAGCAATTCAAAACCTGGCTCGGGGTTCCTGAAGTCGCGCTCGGAGAGCGGGAGAAATGAAGGCATGAGAGAAATCAGTGAGGGTCAGAGGAGCGTTGGGTGCGGGAGGAGAAGGAAGTCGTTGTTTGAGCCGAGACAGCACACCATATAACCATGTACACTTAATCTGCGCTTGAGGTGGATTGAGAAGAAATCACGAGATAATTCTAGTAACAAGAAAGCAACGACATAATCCGGCGTCAGAGAGCCTCCTCGCCTCTCAATAGAAGCAGAGTGACTGGCCCAAACTGTGGAAAGCTATCTGCTTGATTTAGTGAAGCATTAGTTTATATGAAAGAGGGGCATACATACTGATCCTAGCACGGAGCACCTACCCCTAGCTACTCTTTAATGGGGGGGGAAGTTGGGAAAGACATTTACAAACAAGAATGCGCCATCCACTTCAATAAATCATTAGACCCGTCAAAATGCATCGGCAATCGTCCGTCGAAAATGGCTCGTTCAACCGAAGCTCTCTTCACCGTGGCGTTGTGCAGCGTGTTGCGTTGCTGGGTCGGGGGGCCAGGCGAGAAACATCATCGCCAAAGAAAGTGAGAGACATGGCCAGAAGTCGAATGCCTTCCTCGCCTATCGGGACGGCCTAAACATTGGAAGACAAGGCCATGATGAGGTCTGCGAAGAGTTCGAAAGGTCATGTAGGCGTGTGGTAATGTAACGATATCACATGCTTATCCCCTCGCTTTTTCCACTTTGTCTTTACCCCGTAGGCAAGGCGAGGAAATCACTAGACTAGTCTCGTTCTTCGCACCGTCCTGCAACGGGAAAAATGACCACACATATGAAGTAAGTTATCCTCTTTCCTTTATTTTCTTTCACTTCCGCTCGCTTACTCGTTCTCTATTTAAAACACTGGTGTAAGGGCGCAACAATCGGTCCCAGTTCCGTCCATCTGGTCTACTGAAGGAGCAGCCCGCCTTGGTTCAGGAGCAACAGTAACGACAAGTCACGACGATGGCAGTATCGACCATGGTGTCACACAAGCACCCTACGAGCGCCGCTTCTCTCCATACGACTTCAACGGCGGGTAAGCTACGACGGCTAACAAGTCTTCTTTCGTACTAAGGGGGGCATATAGAGGAACCGGAGCATTTCAGCACACAAAAAGGATTACCCATGGCAACGTCATTTCTCACTAACACAACCAAACAGTACGTGCCTCGCTATCGCAGGCAAGGACTTCGCTGTGGTCGCAGGAGATACGCGCCTTAGCACGGGCTATGAGATTTTGTCCCGGAACGTCCCCAAGCTATGCAAACTGTACGTATGGCATTTGTATTGCCCTGCTTCCCTGTTCTTGTATGCCAGCTCAGTTTTTCTCCACCATATCTTCCCCACGAATAGTACAAGCAAGACAGTGCTAGCCTCGGCAGGTTGTCTTACGGACGTGCGGACCCTCCAACAGGTGCTTGACATGCGCCTCCGCATGTACGAGCACGACAACGGGAAGGAAATCAGCACGCCCGCCGTCGCGCAACTCTTGGGGAACACACTCTACTACAGGCGATTTTTCCCTTACTATGCCTTCAACGTCTTGGCGGGGGTGGATGACGAGGGTAAAGGCTGCGTCTTCTCCTATGACGCGGTGGGCTCGCATGAACGGGTTGAATACTCGGCCAGCGGGTCGGGGCAGGCGTTCGTCATCCCCGTGATGGACAACATCGTGGGCTTCAAGAACAGACAGGACCCGAAGCCCGAGTACACTGCCGCGGACATCGTGGCGATTTGCAAGGACGCCTTTTTGACGGCGGGCGAGCGCGACATCTACACTGGAGATGCCGTTACCATAAGCGTCATTACCGCGGCCGGCGTAACCACTGAGACGTTTGAGTTAAAACGCGACTAGACCAGGAGTCGTATTGGGGTCAGTGGAGGAACGTACGGGAGGAACTGGGGGATTTGTTGTCGAAAGGCAGAGCAATGGTAAAGGAAGAAAAAGGCACCAAGAAAGAAAGGTTTCGATGGCCCGTGACACCACCGCGTGCAGATCGACGCGAATTGCCGGCTCTGTGCAGCACGATGCCTTATTTTTTTTTTCTGTGGATTTTGAGATGGCTCTGTACAGGGTTGAATTGTGCTGGACTCATCGTGCGGAGAGTGAAGCGCTGCTCGAGCTGCCACTTCCGCTCCGTCTAATTTTAATGGTGAAGGAGCATGAGGGCACGGCAGGAGCCACTTCTGCCTGCACCGTGGAATTAATTCCGAGATTTTCCAAGGCGCCTTTTATCAGTCCACACGGAAAATTCAATACAGTGGCCGCTGCCCGTCGAGTTGACTCATCGTTGGCTGTGAAGGGAGCTAGCCATCGAAATTTGGCGTCCCGCAGGACAAACACCCCTTGGTTGTTTGTCTGGAGCTTATCGATTTGCTTTTTGAATATTTCAATCCAAAATTCCTTGCAAATGAACTTCATGACATTCACCTCCAATGACTCCGCCGCGAGTACTCGCCCCTGTGCAATAGACTCAGCCAAGCGATAGCCCACGTCAAATCCGATAGCCCGCACTGTCTCTGCCAACAGCTCTTCCTTTCGCGGGCCTTGATCACCACCTGTGCGCAAAGTATCGATCATTGCAGCAAAAAGGTAGTCAAAAAGAGAGTCTGCGCATTCCACTTTTTTGTTCTGGTGCTGGGACGACGTCGAAGACGGCTTCTTGAGGAGGTCGGCCGCCATCTTTGTGATCTGTATTCTATAGACCGCGATTTTTGGAACGGCGAAGGGGTTAGGGACAAGAGTAATAAGAAATAGAGAAGTACGTCGATTTATGAGGCTCCACGAGCACGCGTTGAAATGCAGATAGGCACAAAGCGTTATCTGAAGGCGGGCTGGAGGGCAGACCCGGCCTCGCCGTCAAAACTTCAAGTCTCGAGCCCATCGCATGGCCCCATCCGGAGAACGACTTTTTCCTTGTGCCACATGAATTGGGGCTGATTTCACACCTTCACATTCCAAGATCTCTTGACAGTGTGGCCATGGCGCCGACTGGAATGGGCAGAACCGGGAAAAGCGGAAACAGCAATGTCATGCCAACCCTCCGCACGTCAGCAGAGGGGCCGCCAAGCACACGAAGCAACACAACGAAAATGGCTGGCACAATTTCCAAACTAGACGCAGAGGCGTTTGAGAAGGCCAGCAAGATCATTAAAAAGAAATTTTGTGAACAGGTACAGCTGGATGACTTACCAGAGCTCCGGAATGATTATAAAAAGAAGCTCTCTTCCCTGGAATTGCAACTTAGCGGAATGGTTCAGGTCAAACTCGATGGAGTCAAGCGCTCCATGGACGTGATCCAGACGGCAAATGACCAGATGGTCGCAGTTCGCGGTGAATTTGAGGGCATGTATGAACTCTGTCGCAAGGCAGGTGAGCAAGGTAAAGTCTTGTTCGACGCTTACCCGCGATTGAAAATGATTAATCGGGCTCGCAAAAACTTGGAGCGAACGCTCAAAGAAGTCACTTATTACGCAAACTTGCCTGCACGAGTGGATCATCTCGTCGGGCTCTTAGAGAAGCAGCCCATGCAGCTCCGTCAAGTGCATTTGGAAGGACAGCAATTGGAGCTGTGGCGAGACGAGCTTTTGCGGGAGCTGAAAGTCCAACAGGGGAGTAAGACGATGGCTCCGCCTCCATCCAAGTCCGGCATCGGAGGCCCCTCACGTGTCGTCTCTGTCGGGGACCGCATGCAAGCTACCTTCGGGATCCACCTAGAGGAGGTCAAAAAGCTGCTGGATGCCATTCGGAAGAAGATTTTTGACAACATTTCGAATTGCTTTGAGATTGTACAACTCGACCCCCGCATTTTGACCTCCACTTTGGAGATTGTGGACATGCACGCAGCATTTCAGAAGCAAAAAGCAACGCGTGCCCGAGAACGTGCCGAGAAGAATTCAGAGGACGTGGAGGAAGCCGTCGCGCTCTCGTTGCTGGAGGACCTACGAGCAGATCTGATGTCCAAGCTGAAGCAGAGGGTAGATGACCGGGCCTCGGTCATGTTCGCCCAGACACAAGCAGAGGCGATCGCCAAGGAAGCAAGCGTGACAACCGCGGGAGACGCTTCGCATGTGCAGCCGGACGTCTTTGCGGCTACGCTCGGCGCGGCAACCCGTATTTTGGTCGACCTCAACTATCTGAAAGCCGAGGTAGCGCCCTGCTTTCCTGACGATTACATGGTTATGGATACCTTTAGAATGCAATACGAACGATGTTTGGTGAAAGAAATTTGTAAATTGTATCAAGGAGGCTTCTCGAAATTGGATCAGGGGGAACTATTGCAATTGATGGAGTGGCTTGATTACTACAACCAGGCCATTGTGCACCTTGGCGCCCGGACGCCGTGTTCGGAATTTGTGCAGGCGCTGTCCATCTGCTTACAGGAATACCTTGTCCGTGTCCGCATTCAAATGACCGAATGGTTCACGAACATACTGAATCGGGTCCAGGAGGTGGCCGTGAACTCGGCCGGGCAACCGATCACAAGCACTCCTGAGGATTTCTTTAACATCATCCATCTCCAGGTGTTGGTTGCGCTTTCCAAACTCTCTGCCGATAACATGTGTGCAGTCATTGTGGTCTGTTTGAACGTGATCAAAACCATCTTGGAGGAGACACTAACGACGCTGCGGGACAAGAAATTAGAGCTCGCGTTCCCCCCAACAATGGCTAAAGAGCGCCAGAGAGAGGGCGACCCGGTAACTCTAGAGATGATGTGCGCGACTGTGAACGACTACGATCGCCTCCAGGAGAAGATCCAAGAATTTCGGGAGGAACTAGGGCTGATGGGGAAGCTGAGCGAGGAGCACCTCGTAATGGTGGACGCGGCCGTGGACCATGTCCTAGATGGCTTCGTCAGCATCGCCGATGAGGCAAATTCCGGATGTACGCAACTGGTTCTAGAGGACGTGCGGGAGGCATTTGCTGAAGAGTTGTTCACGGCGGAGTGGGAGGATAGCGTGGGCGTGATGATGCAGAAGGTAGCCATGACCTTTCATGACTACTACAGCGACCTGTCTGTCTGGCTACCTCCTTTTTATTTCGCGCGGCTCGTAAAAGAATGCTTGGAAAAAGTCATGGCGCTCTATCTTTTCTTCTTGTTTCGACGAGGCGGGGCGAAGGGCAAGGACGAAAAGGCGGTCGTAAAGTCGAGGCCTTTTGCAGATCCATTGGTCGTCGCACAGAAGCTCCGTAACGACCGAGAGGCAATGGCAATCTTCTTCGATGACTACGAGGAGCAGCTCAGGATCGCTGGGCTGCGGGAACCGGCTGCACTGGAGTTGCAACTCGCTGTGCTCGACCACATTGTAGACCTTTTCGAAGGAGGCGTGACACTAGAGACAGACGCCACCGATGCGCTGCTTCGCGAGTTCGGCCCATGGGGAGTGGATGCCTTGCTGGCGATCTCTTTCCTAAGAGGAGACAAGGACAAGACGGGGTTGGATCTCAAAGAACGTTTAAAGAGGCACTGTGCGCGTACCATCCGTCCTACGTTGAGAGGGGCGGGAGGACAGGCTGGCCTGTCAAATTTTACATATGACGGTGCAGCCGAGGCACCCAGGAACTTCTCGGCTCGCTTTTCGCTCTCGCCTTTTGACAGTGAGGTGGACGCAGAGGCAATAGTTATTGGCGTCAAGCGGCTCAAAGCCAAAAAGTAAACAAAGAAATGTACTGTAAAGGTCAGGAGATCCAAGCTTTCGATTGACCTGCGAAAGCTCTTTTAAATCAAGTCACAGCCGACGCCTTTTATTCTGTGTTGTTTTTTAATTTGCGTTAGAAATCTTTTGCCAGATTAGGGGACGAGCGCTTCATTTACAAATCGATGCATGTACTTCAGGCATACGCTCGATAGGCGAAAGCCTGCTTGTATACCTTCCTGTATATCTAAAATTTGTCTATTATCTAGTATCCACACGGTTTTAGTATACATCCCTATCTATTGTATGCTGTATGCCTGCCTTTGATACATGTTGTCTTACATGCGAGTGCACAGAAAAGATGCGTAAGACCAACACTCAGGGAGGATCTCTTTTCCGTCACAGGCCTGCAACTATTAGACTCCTATATCGAAAAAAAATGTAATAATGCATAACCCAACCCAGCATCTGTATCACATGCGGCGCAAACGCTGATTAAGCCACGTATCCTTTTTCAATAAGGTGGTCTCTAATTCAAGTTCTGCCTGCCCACCACCTTGAGTTTTTTAATTGCATATCGTCCTTCCCAGCTTGGTTCACATGAAGGGGACTTGCTCGAACGTGGATATCCACTCCTCGTTCGCCGCATCTGCGTTAGGTGAAACAGGGGGCCGAGTGAGGCTATTGTCGTCATCCTGTTCCTCGTTGTAGCTCTCGGATTCCCAGAAGAGGCTGTCATCGGCGCTACACATCATCATAACCATGTCGTCTCTCTGCGTTTTCAAGCCATCAGCACAGCTGCTGTCTGAAAAGTTGCTGGCAGCACTGGTAGCAGCACTGCTTACGGAGGACGTGAGAGCAGCATATCCCTGAGGAACACATTTTGTCGAGGATTCGAAGACATCTGAGCCAGATCGAGCTGACACTGTGTCATTCTCTGTCCAGGGATGCAATGACGCGCCTTGTTCCCGACGCCCGCTATACTCCCATTGAGGGAAGCCCTCCGGATCCATCGTAAAAGCGCTCAAAACATCTACCATAGTCCGCGGGGTCGGAATAGACGCCGAAACGCCAGAGACGTCGCGAGAAAGCTCCTCATATCCCTCCTTGGGCGCATGATGCTCTTTCACATCATCGTCTCGGACAATCGCCATCCCCAGCCTTCCCGTGTGGACGCCGGTGTCAATTGTCATTCCTGATTCCACCAACAAGGCACTTTCATCGTGCGTATAAGTGGGCATCTCCCCTACATATATCCCATCAGCAGTATGGGATCTTTCTTCGTTCTCCTCTGCCTCGCTATTGGTGTCTTGTACATGCTGGGAGGGTCGGCTGAACGTGACAACGCGCCCGCTACGAGTGGTGTAGGTGGACAAAGTGCCACACACAGACGTTGCATCATGTCCGCCCTCGAGTCTCTCTGATCCACTCTCCTCATCCTCCTCAACGTCATCGCCTTCTTCCTCTCCCTCCTCTCCGACATGATCCCCGTAACGCCAATGGCGATGGCCATATGGAGATCGTCCGCTGCTCCCTCGAATTCGTGCGAGGACCTTTTTCCTGCGGTTAGCGTGCCTTTTGGCGACTCCTCTAGGGTTCTTTAGCTTGAAGCGCGACCTCCAGGAACCTGACTCTAGCCGGCCTTCACATTGCGCCTTCTTTAAAAATGTCTTGGTCAAATGCCGCGTACCGTCCATGGTGTAGGAGCCCTCGTACCCACACGTCCGAAGTTGATCCAGTTTGGTAAAGTACTTTTGAGCATGGGTTCGAATCTGTTCATTGCTGCGCGTCTTCATGACCTGGGAGATCTTTTTCCACGATTTGCCGTACTTCGCCCAGCATTTCAGGAAGAACTCGTGCTCCTCGTCCGTCCAATGACCTTCCTTGGCTCGGGCAGCACTCGCTCCATCCTTTCCTTTTGTCGACGCCGTCCGGGGAGGGGTCAAGTCTTTGGGCTGGTTCACGAGATATAACGAGGCGTAGTTTTTAATCTCTTCTGGAGTGCGGGTTGGGAGAAGCAGGGTTGAAATAGATTCCCAAGACCTTCCATACTGCTTGAGACCTTCCA